ATCCTTGGGATTGGCGGGAACAAGTAGATTCAACAGAAGTACATATCACTGAGAGACATAGTGATGGATCTAGTTCTGGATCTGAAAGAGTATGTATCTCTGCGAGTATATCTAGCCATCATCACATAGACTTGTGGCATGCCTTTCTCTTTGACCACCACCTGGTCAGACTTTTCCCATGCTTTTTCAAGCAGGCAAACTCCTGTCTGCTCTCATGATTAATGATCCTGCATTACCATCTCTTGTAATACCTGGTCCTAATGAGACCATTACCACCCACTCCCTCATGGAGACAATTGAGGCCAACCTCTTTATAGACATCGACTCCTTGTTGGCAAACATTGTTCTAGCTACCAAAAGTCCTGATGGACTAATTGATTGGATCAAACTCAAGCCCGAGTTCCATGGCTTCATTATAAAATGTGTTCTTCAACTCATCTCAAAACATGCAGCAAAATCTAAGATAGCTCCTGCAAAAGAAGCCTTATTCCAATTCCTCATCAATCTCCTTGATGGCAGAGCTACATGTAATGCCTTCTTCCATGAAATGAAGACTGCCATGGCCCTGAAACATGCTAACAGGGAGAGAAAAAGTAAGGGCACAGAGAAGATGAAAGTTCAACTTGACAACACAGAGGAGTCAGAAGTTAACTTGAATGCCAATGGTGCAGAGGTGAAGAAGACACCACACCAGACTCGAACCCAGCCATTGCAACTGCCACCTCACTGACTCGGACTCCCACTCAAGTTAATCACCCTCCCGACCTGGAGGTGACCCCACAACCGCAAGTGCCTGTGGTCAACCACAAACCAGAAACAATGGAAAGCAGATGCCCAGGGATCCAGAATCACCCAGCATGCGAGGAATGCCATACCAGGCCAGCTGCTGGTATCAAGCTTAACCACTATCCCAAATGCACAGTGCACCACTTCCACAGAAATAGAGATACATACATTGATGGATACACTGACTACACTTGCTATTGTGCTGAAGATTACGACCAGAGACATACCCCTGGCAGCATATGACTAAGCTCCACACCCACACCCATTATCACCTTCAGATGGCCTTGACTGTCCTTGCTTGTGCCTGGACCAATGATCACACAATAATCAAAAGAAGTAAATAGTTCATGATGGTAAAAATACTTGTATGTTTTGTCTACCATAGGGCATGGCCCCAATGGACAATAAACAATGATCCCAAAAAAAAACAAAAAAAACATACTCGTAATAACATGTGAGGCAAGGAATCCGGGATCGCCCTTTGTGTGTCACATGACACCAAATATTGATTTGTTGAATTTGGATTCAGCGAATTTTGCCAGTCCATACATAGCCTTACTTATTGGGCAACCCAGGTGCTTGAAGTTTTGGATATTTTTAGCTGATGCTGGGAACACATCACATTATTTGCTGATATGCCAGCAGCATCCAGTCCTATAGTCCCGTTGCCATGTAAAGTTCCTCTTTATCCGGGAGATATTAAAGGAGGCAGTGATCCACTGAATTTGCCTCACCCTAGAGGTGCAAGACCTATCTACTATCACCTATAATAAGAGTATTTACATGGGAATCACAGGTGAGCTTTCTCAGTACATCTAGATATACTTCTGGACTCACATGCACCAGCAGCAAAGCAAATAGCATTATACTCTGAGCTCTTCTATTATTTATCCCAGCCATTGTTCATAAGTAGCTACTAAGTCCTCACCATATGTATCTACATCCTCTGCTTGCATGGTTCTAACATAGGTGACATAAATGTCACAGCAATTACCCTCCTCCACAACACCCTTTGACTTTCTGACAAACCTTTCATATATTTCTTTGTCTTCAGGTTCCGCTTCATCATTGCATGCCTCTAGCAAAGCAAAACACTGATCAACATATCTGAAAAAAGCTTAGCTACTGTCTCTATTATAACCCAGACAAACTCACTTCAAATACTCTGTTTGCTCCTCGACTGGCACGTCTGGATGCAACAACCTCTTGGCAAGCGCAGCTGATGAGCGAGGATCATCAGTGGAAGGCAAGTCTGATTTTAACACTTCTTGTTTGGAGGTTAATGTCTTCTTGGAAAACTCATGCTGAGACGAAGGATATGTGCCGATCCAACGACGAACTCCAGCCATGAGCCTGGGAAACAGTCTGCATGAAATATCATAGACTAAATCGGATACATACCGTGGATGGTGTGTTGGATGAGTGCTGTGAGGGAGAAATGGACTGTAAGCAATGTCCTTTAGAGTCTTCCTGTGGATGATGACGGACAAATTAGCAATGATCTCGCTCCTGTACAGTACTGCTTACCCTGGTAGCTTCAATGTGCTATTCATGGAGTACGCAAAGTGCTTTCCCAGCGATGTGAATAAAAGTGGACGGTAGTACTCCGCCCAAAATTCTCCGCCTACGTTGACAAAGTTGCACAATGCTGACGAGCACTCCATCACGTCATACAACACCTGGAGATGTCGCTTCTGGAACCATTTCTGGTACTGACCACGTTTCGGAGGAAGCGCCAAGCTGCGTTCAGCTGCCACGCCGAGAAATAGATTTATTGCTGCTTGTTTGTCTGCGTCTAGATGGACTTGTCAGCTATGGTGTGGGTGAGTACAAGACAAGTAGGTACCAAGAAGGGAGTTAGCATAAAAACGGCGGATGTTTTCGATGATGTCCCTCGAGTGACTGTTCCAGTGAGGCATCCTGCGATATGTTTCTACCCGATTCACAAGTGCGCTACCGGTATACTGCAGCGCGATGGCTAAACAAAATATCAGCGATAGCCAACACAAGTTATACGACAAACTCAACTATCTCCATGGTCATGATACATTTCAGTCAACATGTTTACCGCATCTGAATCAAATGGGAGATTCGGACTAGCAACAACACCGAGGGCATATAACTGGTGGCCCAGTGCACGCTTCCCGAAAACAAATTGTGCTGCATTCGTACGATCTAGGCAGTCGACACAGTTTGTGCGGCATACACCATTCTGCAGCAAGATGGAACGACGGAAATGTTCGTTCTCTTCACTAGGAATGACAAAGTCAATATGACATTTGAAAAAGACGAGTGCAATACACACAAATTGCCATTATGGAGACCATGAGCGAGTGGTTCCGCGCCAGAATGAAAGAATCCAGTCATTTGAATGGATACCTCTGCTATGTCCTCGAGGTAGCTTATAACATCTTGTGTTTTCCTACAGTCATATTGAGACAGCGCAGCGCCAAAATTGCATGAAGTACGTACTCCTTGTATGCCCGTGACATATCCCAAGCCCGATAAACCATCTTGTACTCATCCGGCAGAAATTGGTTCAAATATTTGACGCATTGAGTGTACTCATCCAACAGCTTCGATTCGCGTGGCTGCGGCTCCCGTCGTTTGATGAGGTTAAGAATTGTGATTGGCGCGCCGTATCGTGCAAAAAGGTCATCGAAGTGACGAGAAGCAGCAACATAGAATGGATCTACAACATTGACTTGGGATATGTCAAAATAAAGGTAAGTTGATGGTTTCAACGGACGTACTTTCAATAGGCGGTCGGGGAGTCATGCTAGTAGTTTCTTGTGTCCAGTATATGGGAATGCTGCCCCTGTACTAAGAAGGTTCGACTAATGTAAGACTATGATAGATCGCATGATTGCATTGGTCCGTACCTGAACGTAACTGGTATACTGAGGGCTCGGCCGACGTTGGCATTCGCCTGTTGAAGGACCGGTGGGAGGAAAGTAAAATGGTGTCGTTAGTGCTTCTGATACAATTTGCTCGGTCTCAACCTCGTTTGCAACGTTTCCCTAGTAAATGCCTGAGGAAAAGGATTATTTGATATACTAGTTCCGTACCTCTTCATTGACACCGCGGGTCAAATATCGAGCTCCGGCATAATGGCGCGACCGACGGGCAATAAGCGTTACAAAGACTACACGCCCAAGTACAGTAAGTTCTGGAAGCGCACTAAGCATCATGATGCAGGAGCGCAAACGGCCGATGCACTTACTGGCCTGGTCCACATGACCATGTATGAGTGGCAGTAGCCATGGACGACGGACGCCAGTGGCGGGGGAATCCTTGAGAGGTGCAGCGATCATGTGAAAATTCCAAACGTATCGATCATTGAAGGGCCATCTGGTACCATTGAAACGTTTTGGCTTGGTGAGGTTATTTTGAAGCGTAGAGGTGATATCGTATGAGTAACTGGATTGAGGCATAGTGGAACCAATTAGGAGAGCTCACACACTTGAATATTACCCACCTGAAGTAAAAGTTTTTCGATATGTCAACTTGCTTGAACATATTCGCAAGGCGCTGCTCCTCGGCAGGACGGTCAATCTTGTGATTGGATGCAACAGCTATCATCTCCGTGTTCTCGCAATGGTATAAATAGTGGCCACCAAGAAGTGCCACAACAGAACGCTTTGATATGACGATCATGTACCACCCAGCGGTGAACTTCACAAATCCTTGGTCTGGTCAGCGACTTACGATAAACGTACTGGTGCGGCATACCTGCAATACCAAAGATTATGCGTGCCTTACCAAGCCCGCCAGATCCCTTGTTACCATCCTCCAGCATCTTGAGCATGTTGCTCATTTGCTTGCCGCTATAGTCGGTGTCGTCCTCGACAATGGCGATGTCGGTTTGTGAGGTTCGGTCAATCTTGACAATCCGGTGCCGCGAGTCAGAGGCATTAGAGGCGACGATATAGAAGCGCAGTTTGTTCTCGTATAAAATGAACTTGTTGAACGCAGAGAACTTGGGTACCAAATTACAATTGGCTGGGAGTTGTATTGACTTGTCTGACGACTCCGCAGCTTTACCCTGAAACACAGCGGCGGGTAATGTCGATGAGCTCGGTGGATCTGACTGTGACACTAGTCGATCCATGGCAGCCTGGCAGGTAAGTGCTACTATTACTAGTGGGATGTAGTACTTAATTCTTATTTACCTAAGGTACGGCAAGCGCCGATCGTGAAGTCTGCTTCAGTTGCTGACCAAGCCCACCCCCTATGCAAGTTATCCTCTAACCATGTGTGGACGATATGCCCTAGGTCTACAGGTCAGTTTCTATCACAACTTGCTTCAGCTGTTTAACGTAACTAGCGTGCCGAAATACGCGCTTTACCTGGATACCCCAATCTCGAAATTGGTGAATGGGTAAACGAAGACAATTTCGTGGTGAGTTCTGTTCTCCACACCCATGAAAGCAAACCATGAGATACTTCCTGAATTATAGCCCCGCTATAACATTGCGCCAAACTCTCAAGCGCCTGTCATTCGCAGGCGTAATGCTTCTTCACCCGACCTTCAAATGCAGACCATGCGGTGGGGCATCCCTTATGGTAAGATTCATGCAAAAGGTCAACAAGCCATCAATGCACGCTCGGAAAACATCATGGAAAGTGCAGGGATGTGGAACAAATACAGAAGCGGTAATCGCTGTGTCGTTGTTAGCCAGGGGTGCGCGCTTATTCGAGTTTGCAATTCAAGATCATGATGTTTCTGCAACTAATCCTCTATCAGGTACTACGAGTGGCAGACAAAAGGCAAGGCCAAGCTTCCACACTTTACGAAAAATGCCGATGGGAAGGTGATGCTCATGGCTGGACTTTATCACGTTTCAGGTGCGCATCATCGCTGACCAGCGGACACTACTCGCCCACAATATTGACGGCTTGAAGAGGAAACAATTCCAAACTACGTTTTTGCTATAATTACAACGAGCGCCAGCACATCACTTAGTTGGCTGCACGACCGCCAACCTGTCATTCTTACATCCGACGCCGATGTCACTAAGTGGCTTGATACCAGCTCGAATGCTTGGTCCGCCGAACTTGGTAAACTGTTACGACCGGCTGAAGGTCTAATTTGGTGTGCCCTTTCTTCCTTGATTGTATCTCGAGCACTGATGATTGTATGCAGCTATCAAGTTCCAAAGGAAGTTGGAAAAGTTGGTGCCGAATCTCCCGCCTTTGTCCAGCCCGTTGCAACACGCAAAGACGGTATCGAGGCCATATTTGCAAAGCAACGCGCCAAACAGGAGGGAAGGGAAATAAGGAAGGCATCAAGCGCAAGCGTAGTCCATCTCCAGTCATACCATCAATGCAATCTGAGCCAGTCGGGAAGGTGAATAAGAGTCCTAAGATAGAGTGCAAAAAGTTTAAAATTGAATAACTTGTTGCGAGTATACCGCGACCTATGTACTATCATCACATCCTATTTGTGGTTCGCATGCAGCGCAGATTTGTAGTCGTACATATGTCATAATTCTAACCCCGCAGAAGTTGCTTGTCACTGCTTGTAGCTCAGCGCTCTCAGATCCTGTTGATTGACAAACATCACCTGGCGGCAGCAATCTGGAGGTTCCTATGGCCTATTTCTCAAGCCAAAGGCCACAGTCCTCAAGTTCTGCCATCAAGATTGTCAATCCGGCAGAACATGATGACAAGGCTAAATTGCAGGCCAAGAGAGGTAGTACCTTCGATTGACGCAAATATCCATGCATAACTTAACCCGGTTCATCAGATTCTCCTCAGCGTCAATGTAGGAATATATTGATTTATGGGTAAAATCAACTCTTCAGCGGCGAGGTAGTATTTTAATGTGTCACGCAGATCTTGTCGTTATCAGGACAAAGGTTGTATCTATTATCACCCACCGGTATGTGCAGTGCAAACTAGTTGATAGTATACCCTCTCAATGTTCTTCAGGTTGAAGGTTCAAACAACATGTACGGAAGGTTTTCGATCCTTGACTGCCTCAAGCGCTCATGATCTCTCTAGGCCATGTCCAGAATCACCTCTTCCTGCTTCACTTTCTGCGCAGGCCGTCAATGCTCCCATCTTCGTGCCAAAAGCACCTTTTCATGCCATTACATCTCCTTCTCCGACTTCGGCGTCGCCATTCACTCCTTCGTAAGACCTCTATGCATTACCATACAACTACTGAGATTTGTGTAGCCCCTCGCCTTCAACCTTTTATCCGAATCATGCCGAATACGAGGATTATGGAGATTCTGTCTCCAATCAGACACCTCAGACATTGGAGCATCAATTAGTCAATCAGTATCAGCAGGTGCGAATATGTCCTTATATATGTTTTTACTAGGCTCACATCTACTTTAGGTGGATTATGACGACCATGCCTCACCAATGAGTAATTTTTATCAATCTCAACAGGCTACGTTTGTAAGGCAACCTGTAAGCTTCTCCTGCCAATCTGCATGGAAGGATGTGTTACCTTTATTGTGTGTAGTTGGATTATCATCTCTACTCGCACCCTACTCCGGATGCCTTTCCCTCGACGCATTTTGTCTCTGATACAATTCGCGAGGAGCTGCACAGACGCTCGGAAGCCTCACAACTTGTCCCACTACCTGGACATAACCTACCTGATGAACTTCAGGGATATCATTCCCTAGCTCTTCTTGAACCTTCTGTCACCGAGCGACGCAAGTTCTTCAGTTGGTACTCTACCGTCTATCGCGCAACTAGTTCCAACGATGGTATATCATATGCTCTTCGTCGCATCGAAAGTTAGTTACACCCATAGCATTTACCCCATATTGTTGACTTGTGCAGATTTCAGGTTGATGCATCAAGCTGCATTTGGAGCTATCGAAACGTGGTCGCGTATTGAGCATCCAAGTATCGTTCGTGTCCGCGAAGCATTCACTACTCGTGCATTCAACGACAATTGTACGTTGGACCCTTATTCAACTTCGCTTGCTCTGACAAACGTAAATCAGCTTTGGTGGTCGCGTATGAATATAATCCGGATGCTCAGACTCTCTTTGAAATGCACATTAAACAGAGGCCACCTGTATTTCAGCATGGCCGTCTTTCAACTTTCTCAGCGGCATTACCCGAGGCGACTTTATGGTCGTACATCATCCAAATTGCCAGTGCCATCAAAGTAGTGCATGAAGCGGGCCTCGCAGTACGCATGGTTGACGCAACCAAAATCATGGTCACGGGCAAGAACAGGTGTGTTCTCTCATCTCGTATCTGATTCATCTTATGTCTGCGAGCAGAATTCATATTGGCTCGTGCGGTATTGCAGACGTTCTGATGTACGGTTCCCGCCAAGATTCTGCGATCGCCCAACAAGAGGACCTCGCAATGTTTGGCCGTCTTGTGTTTGCTCTCTGCTGTAATAATCTTGCAGCCATGAACACACTCCCTAAAGCACTTGACATGATAGGTCGCCAGTACTCCGCTGATGTGAAGGCTCTTGCTCTTTATTTGATCTCTAAACCAGGTCCACACAAGGTTGGCCTTTCTCATTATCGGTATAGCCTGCGTCTAATAATTTTTTAGAGTATCACACAAGTAATAGACATGATCGGAACGAATCGATTGCTCCACGAAATGGACGATATGCACAGGTAAATGAAAGTAGATGTATGCTAGCGCTTGTGCTCATGCTACGACTTAGTTCCGTCAACAGGCTTGAAGCTGAATTCATGAGTGAGCTCGAAAACGGGCGCCTGGTTCGGCTTCTTTGCAAATTTGGTTTTATCAACGAGCGACCCGTGTGCGTCTACCACTGCTCAATTTGAACAGCATCTCAACCTTGATTTTAGGTTCGCCCGTGAGCCTCGCTGGTCTGAAACAGGCGATAGATACATCATCAAGCTCTTCCGAGACTACGTCTTTCATCAAGTGGACGAGAACGGTAACCCAGTCATCAATCTTTCGCATGTCTTAGCTTGTTTGAATAAGGTACTCCCTGTTTATTTGCTTGGAAACATCTCTCATGCTCTTGCTAGCTCGACGCTGGCACGGACGAGCGTATTATGCTCGTTTCCCGTGATGAACAGAGCTGTCTCGTTGTGAGCTACAAAGATGTGAAAGCCTGCATCGATGTTGCCTTTGGGTAGGACTCCATTGTCTTGTCTCGTTCTCATTGTGGCTAATGCCCATTCAGTGATCTAGCTCGGGCATCGCGATGATCATCGATTTCTAACATGCAAAAATAGGTAGAATCTGAAAAAGACGCGAAAAATACAAAAATTATGATTTCAATTTGGTTACATCGTAGTACTTTACTGCGTTGATAGTTTCATCTGTCTGATCTCGACGATGATGAGCATAGTTTGCCGTGTTGTCATCATACCACAACTCCGAACTCCAACTGACTGAGGGAAAATTGTGGTTGCAGCTACGATGAGTTTAGTTCACCCATGTGCCAGAGTACTTGCACGCTGGCAGCGACCTTGTCAGTTGCAACACGCATGGCGACTACAAAGTAACGTGTCAAGCAATACTTTCTCAACGTCATCGGTGTTGGCAGGTAATCGAGCTATCGTCTACAATACCAATGGTGACCCAGCTCGTGTCCTATCTGCATTCTCCTTCCCCGAACTGCCGCCTCCGCCTCCAAACACCGTGAACATAAGGGTTCTGCTTGCGCCCATCAATCCTGCAGACATCAACGTTATTGAGGGCGTTTACCCCGCGAAACCAGAGCCTGATGTTTCCCTCTCCCAGGCCAAGGATTACCCACTATTCGTGGGGGGAAATGAGGGCCTTGGCAAAGTGATAGATGTGGGCGATGGCATTGTCGGCCTGCGGAAGGATGATTGGGTCGTTATGACTAAAGCTCAGAGTGGAACATGGTCGTCGGCGAAGAACGTTGCCATGTCGGATGTCCTAAAGGTTCCCAAGCAGGGTCTGTCTGAGGCACAGGCTGCTACGATTACCGTACGTCTCTTCATTGTCACTTGGATATTTTGATCACTTCAGTTCCGACGTTGGTGAAGGTCAACCCCCCAACAGCTTATAACATGTTGCACGACTTCGCCCAACTTGTAGAAGGAGACTGGATTGTGCAAAACGGTGCGAACAGTGCTGTATGTATGGTCTTATTCGTGCGCTGGCGGCAACCCTTACCTCAGTCTGCTTCTCAGGTTGGTCAAGCCGTGATTCAAATCGCAGCTGCCAAGGAATACAAGACCATCAACTTCATTCGTGACCGGTATGTCATATTTACCACAGCTACGGGCCTGTCTCATTCAAGCAAAGAGATGATGTTGGACTGCTGAAACAACATTTGAAATCACTGGGTGCAACACACGTTGTGACATATGACGAACTCGCTGAGAAGTCCTTGAGAGCGAAGGTCAAAACGTGGACTGGAGGCAAGGTATTGACTTCTCCATCTTTCCTTTCGATAAACTTAGTATTTTGTAGGATATCCGCCTTGGTCTCAACTGCGTAAGCGGCAAAACGACCACCCTTATGGCTCGACTACTTGGGAACAACGCGCATCTTGTTTCATACGGGGCGATGTCCAAGGAACCTCTTTCACTTCCAACGTCGCTCTTTATTTTCAAGAACCTTACTTGTCACGGCTTTTGGCAAACACGTTGGTATAGCGATAAATCCTCGGAACAACGTCAGGAATTGCTTGAGACATTGACCGCCCTCATGCGAAATGGCAAGGTACGGAACTTCAATGATGCTCGTATTTCATCTCATCTAGGCTATCCAGCTGCAGGGCCCTAACTATGAAGTTTTGACGATTGGCGGGACGGAGAGTGATGTCAGTGCGTCTGTAAAGATTCGTGACCTCGTAGCGCGTTTAGGTCAAGGAATGTATGGGAAGAAGGTACTCTTGAAGGTTGAAGAAATTGTATGACATGAAGATAATGCCCCTGTCGACTTCAGCCGTGCCCGGTTGATCATTGCCATCCATCATAATCACTTACCTTGTTCCATAAATATTGAGGTCCATAGCTAGTGTCATAGCCATTGTGATAATTTTGGTGTATAAAAGTTCCAAGCGGCAAGCCCGGATGCTGAAGAATTGAAGCTGGCTTCCTCATTTGGGCAGACCCTTTGGAAAGTTGCTGACCATCACGTTCCTCAAGGTCAATTATTGTGGAAGCAATTCCCATCTCCCTAGGCACCAAGGGCTTGTCTCTGTTGCCCACCAGAGCAGTCCCCCAAGCTTTTAGATTTCTGTTTCTAGCATGGCGCAGAGTTCATCCAGTGTCCAGTCTAGTCCCTATAGTTCACAACGGAGACATGCTTCCAAACACCGTTTCTTCGTGGTTGAACTGTCACAAGCTCTTTTCGACTTCGTAATTCGCCTTCTTCCAGCCCAAGAAGAGATGGCTGTGAAGGAAGATGTCAGGAAACTCCTTGAGAGGTTGATTCGCACAATCGAACCTGACAGCCGACTACTATCATTCGGAAGCACCGCGAACGGCTTTAGCCTTCGTAACTCAGGTGAGCTTGGAATAGCTTGTCTCTTGCTCGTATAGGCTACAATTTGCTATAGATATGGATC